GGGATTTTTCTGAGGAAAACAGAAAAGCCTCTCATTTCTGTTTACTTCTCCACTTCAGAGATCACCCAAATTACAGTCATAGATCTATTAAGCAGTCCCATAACCATTTCTTAAAGCTCCTTACCTCCCTGCTGCTGACGGCACTGTGTGCCACCACAAAGCTCCTCCTCATTTCATAATTTGCCGTGTACGTAGTTCAGAAGCCCTTTGTTTATGCATAGCTTCAGCAGTCCCGTGACTCACAGTGTGGTATTTCCTTGGAGATCCCTTGGAGATGACTGCAGGGCAGTGCAGCAGTCCCAGCTCTCCCATGCTGCCCACTCTGGGTCTCCCTTGTGCTGGGTTTTGGGATGGGCACCTGTGGGGCTGAGCAGCTTTTCCACATGGAGGAGCGCTCCCAGCCCGTGCCACAGGCTTTCGCTGTGTGTCTGGACTCTGGGATGCCCTTGGCTGGGGAAGGTGCTTGGCACAGCTGCCTCCACTCCCAGCTTTGTGCCACCACGTCCCAGAGCTGCCCTTGCCTGCCTGCCCTGTGCTGCACAACAGCAGCCAGGGATTCTGCTTACCCTGCCCATGGCCCAGCTTGGACGTCTGTGTCCTGTGTCAAACAGTCTCTGGTGACCATTACATTACCAACAGCACCTCTGAGGAGCAAGGTGGAAGGGCAAGAGTGCAGGCAAGCAAGAGCTGTCCTGCTGCATGCCTTTAGGTGTCAGGAGCTGCATGACCAAGGCCACAGGAGCTCCTTCTTCCCCACTGCTCAGTGTGGTGGTGGGGCAGCTGCTGGTGTGGCAGCTCCCTTTGGGTGTGTGAGGGTGGCCATGCTGGTCCCATCCCCTCTAGTCCCTCTCCAGCAGCATACAGTGGCATATGGTTGGAAAATGAGTGAGAAGTGGATCACAGGTAGCCTGAGAACTCCTGCACCTACCTGCCTGGAGAGCTGTGTTTGATCACCCCGATGGACCTCTTCTCTGTGAGCTTTTTATTCCTCTTTGAGCCTGCTTGCTCCTTCCACACCTGCGGCATCTGGTGCCAAGCAGCTCCAGGCACTATCACCTGCAACAAGCCCTGTTTGTTTTAAACCTGTCAGCTCAGCTGACATGTGCTGCTGGGTCTGGTACCACAAGGGAGAGAAGAACAGCTCTGGGGTTACCACCTTCTATGTTTGTGTTTCCAGAGTAGCTTCCCCTTGGCCACTCCTTTAAGATGAAGAACCCCAGGCAGTTCAACTTATTCCTGAGTTGAAGCTGCTTCACAGCTTGCTGGTTGTTCTTGCTCATCTTGTTTGAGGTTCATTTCTTCTTCTTCTGATACCTTTACTGGATCTCAGAGTAGCCTAGGTTGGCAGGGGCTGCTGGAGATGACCCAATCCAGCCCTGGCTCACACAGGCAGGGTGCTCAGTACCATAACCAGTTGAGATTTGAATGTCTCACAGAGTTTGCTTTATGGGTAACCTGTTCCAGGGTCAAGGCCAGTGCTGCTTTACCCTCACAGTAAAAGAGTTTTTTCTTACATTTGGGCAGGGGGTGTGTGTGTAGCTTTTCCTTAAGTTTAAGTAGGGTTTCTGGTGGTTTAGGTTTTGTGCCCTTGCCTCTCTCCCTCTCACTGGGAAGCACTAAGAGTCTGGCTCTGTCTTCTTTATGACTGCCTGTCAGGTATTTGCACATATATACGATGCTGCTGTCAGCCTCTTTTCACATATCACATGTGATCATCCTCGTGGCATTGCATTGGATGTGCTCTCGTACATCCATGTCTTGTTCTGGAGACCTCATCACTGGACACTCCAGTTGTATCTCACCAGTGCTCAATAGCAGGCAAGGATCCGCTGCCTCCCATAGAATCACAGAATGGTTTGGGTTGAAA